GCATAGTCCCTTTCATCTTACACATAGATATGAAGTATTTTATATAAACTACGTGCTATGTGTGCATATTATCTGAATACTTGTTGTCTATGCTAGATGAACGTTTTATACATGTTTTAAATTATTTAAACTGTATATGTATTTTATATATACGAATATATTGGGTATGACATGGGTAGATGAAATAGTTGTTTGTGTGATAACACGATGGAAGACATCATTGTTGTCATTGATCCAGTCATCTAGTAGGGTATAGATGACAACCATGGACGATACTATACGGTCCAGTGGAACGATAGTTGGCTTGTAACCTATAGGCGTTTTTGAACTAGGTGCTCATTAGGTATTTTTGAACTGAGTGTGTTCACTAGGTATTTTGAACTGAGTGTGTTCACTAGGTATTTTGAACTGAGTGTGTTCCCTAGGTATCTTTGAACTGAGTGTGTTCACTAGGTATTTTGAACTGAGTGTGTTCACTAGTTACTTTTGAAATAAGTGTTTACCAGATGTTTTGGACTACGTGTTCACCGGTTATAATCTATAACCCTTGGTAACGATGGACTTCGTGCCGATTCCTTAGGATGATCCTTAGGAATAAATAAATGAGGAATATTTGATTCTTAGGCTAGACCGTTAAGAGAAAAGAAGATACGGGGGATGGGTAATTGGGTTGATTGTTTGATTGTTTTAACATAATAATTACATTATTGTGGGTTGAAAACCCTATGTACTTACCAGGTTTCCCAACCTGACCCACTCAGTTTATTTACATCACAGGTGTTGATATGAAGTCACATTACACTGAGAGATTAAAGAGATGTAGATCACTAGTGTAAATAAATGTAAGTTCTATTTATGCTTATGTTTCTGTATTGACCATGACATCCCAAACGTTTTAACATAAATAAAATACGTTTCTTCGAAAATGTTTTGATAACGTATTTATCGTATTTTTCTGGGAACAAATTCCGCAGTATTTTTATGAAAAGAAGTACTCTGATTTTTATAAAGCATAAACAAAATCTATCTTGTCTGGCCATGAAAATGGGGATGTCACAGTTGGTATCAGAGCATTAGTTTAAGCAAACTAGGAATATGGATTTAAGCAATGATTGTGAGGAGTGTGTCTACTAAAATTTAGGTAATACACCTGAATAGACACAAGCACTAGCTTATTTAGGGAAAATTTCTAACATGCTTTTATGTGCTAAATGATTTATGATATGCATTATATGATTGGATCTATGGTCTGTTGCCGACCGGATCTGGAAATTTTATGTGCTCAGGTTTCTAAACGTTTAATTACGATATTAGAACTGGCATGTAACTTTTTGGAGTAATAAGGTGGAATACGCGTCTAATTCTTCCTCTATCTATATTCTCATCTCGATACACCAAATGCTTGCTTTGGAGAATAGAATGTCATGATAAGAACTCATAGAGAATTGAGTAAGTGGAGGAAATGAAAAGGCTTATGATAGTGAAGGACACCTAGCGAAAGATATCATAAGAGTGGTATCTTGCCTTTAGAATATGTCATGCAGTACGTTTAGAGGAGTACAGTACGTCCGAAGTACACCTTCGATTGGAAGGATAATGGAATGATTGGCGTAATTCATGAAGTTGACCCATCGTATGGCATTTCCACCGGCTGAAGCAGAATTGATGATTGAAGATACGCATAGAAGAAGTCATAGTACAGTCTAGGGAAACTTTTGTGATTGTTTGGACACATTTTTATGTGTTAAAAATTGTTTTTGTGATAATAACTTGGAAAACTGCGAGACAAAATTTGGGACGAGTATGAGTAGGTGTGAATGGTAGTAGAGACCTATACTACCGGAAGCACAGGACTCACACTTTGATCAGGGAAAGTCACAAGGTTACCAAGAAACTAGTAATTGATTTTGTTTTATTCACGTATGTCGTTACCATTGTTTCGGTAATGACTAAGAAGATTATTGTTATCCCGACCCTAGTGGTCATATCACATTGATTCTGACTACGATGAGTATGTTACGTAGTTCAGAGAACCAAGTTTGATGTAGCATACGACTTAAACCAAACGATTGAAATCAAAGCGAACAATAGAAGTATCGCGCTAGTTGTTAAAGAAGTTGGTAGCTAGAAATGCTACATGTTAAAGTGTGATTATACCACATTAGAACATGAAGGAAGGCATAGTCTATTTTAGAATTTAACTCTAAGAGACCTGAGTCTAAACGTGCAACACATGATGATAGATCATAATTTGGAGTCTAACCTGAGGAAGAGAGTAGGTGCACGATTAAGTACTGCTTACAGTCAATAAGTCTAAGAGACAGACTTGAAGGAATATAGAAGTTATAATTATTACCTAGGATGAAGAGATAACGTATGGAGTCCTGTTTTGTTGATGATTCCGGGACATAATCATCCTAAGGGGGAGATAATTGTAACGCCCGTAGATCCGGGCTAGTCAATTTAGAGACAATAAGTGTCGAAAACGACTTTTCAACAAAGGATTATTTAGAATAAATAATCTTAACCAAGTTGTAGAATATGTCTCAAGGTTTCCGTACATATAAAGAACGCCGAAATTCGAGTTATAACGAAGAAGTTATGACCCGTTGAAGTTTCGCGACAGAATCGGCACGATACCGGGAAGCGTAAATAGTGAATTTACGATAGAGTGAGATTTAGCCTTAGTGTTGTGATTTGTAATCAAGTTTGAATCAATTCAAGTATGAAATCAGAAAGAGTAATTACGATGAATACGAGAGTAAATAGAATATTTGTTCAGCTGATATTATGCTTTTTAATTTACAGATTACAATGACTAAACTGTAAAAACTAAGTGAAAGAAGTCTCTTAAACACTTAGTACAGACCCCTATTTATAGGAGAACAAAAGCATAACAATACTAAGGACTAGGCATTAAGACAACACTTTAATATGCCTTAGTACAAATAATATTACATCCGAAGACCCCTTCTTACGAAGACAAAATATACTTCATAACAATCTAACTGACTCTTCGACTATTACAACATTTAAGCCCTAACAATCTCCCCCTTTGGAATCAAGGTCGAAGTTTTCAATTCGTCATTGATTGAATGGCATACATCAGCACTCTTCGGATTTCCATGTACCAAGAGGTAACTTTCTTTATCTCTTTCTTATCCCCTTCTGAGTTCCTCTTGCAGTGGTTCATACGAACAATTAAGTTCGTATATTGTGAGTTGGTATATCTCTCCACTTCGCAAGTTTGAAACAAGAACCGCTTAGCTCTTCCAGCTTTGTCTTTTCCTGCAAAAACGATTCCCAATGGCTTTAAACAAATTTCTCCATCTTCATAATTTTTCAACTCATTTTGTTTCTTCGATGGTGCCATTGGTAAAGTAATATCGATGCCTTTGACAACTGCAAGTTCGACATCAGTCTGAGCCAAGCACTCAAAGTAATTCTCCAAAAATATCTTAATGTGCTTGCACCCAAGACTAAAAACATCTGGTTCTGTGTCTTGGAGAAAAGATAATGATTTGTCTTTGAGCATCAAGGCAATGTTTATTAGATCATATGTGTTCATCAAAGGAAAGTCTGCCACTGTAAATTCTTGTAACTTCCCACTTGCTCTTGCTACAGTATACTTCAAATTTTCAAACTTCCCTTCGAATATGGCATCCCTTTTTATAGATATCACGTTCTTAATTTTCTCCGAAAACCACACTTCCTCTTGAGCCTTTGCCAATACTGCATGAAACCTTATCTTCATCTTCTTTCCCTCTTCGGTTTCCAATAATTTTGCTTCAGCCTTGAACTGTGGCATAACGAGCATCATTTCACTGACTGGAAAGTCAAGTTGACCAAAATCTATGTTCGTCACCACATAGCTCTTTTTCGGAATCTTTTCAAATGAGTAGATATAATCAAACAGAACTCTGGATTCGATGGTTTCGTAGTTATAAAATTTTGCTGGATCACCCTTATCAACATTCGAACCATCCAGAGCCCTTTGTCTCATTATGCTCTGCACCTGCCTCATTCTTTCCACCTCAGCTGCCACCTCAGCTTTCTTTCTCTTCTTTTGACTTTTCAATCAAAATTCCTTTTCCCTTGTCTTCGACATTTGACAAAACCAATTTTTTCGATGAAGAAACATCAGCTTCCTTCCCAATCACAACACCTTTTGAACTTGGTTTTGGAAGTGGAATTGTTGTGATCACACTTGAAGTGACTGGACCTGCAGAAATAATAGTTGGTTTTGTCACCACCTTCGAAGGATAAAGTTTTCCAACTACCTTAGCATCTTCAGATGTCTTCGTTTGTTCCGCAGCCTTTGATTTATCAATCTTTTCTCCCCCTTGCACCCCTGTGAAAGCAGGTGGGGCATCTGTAACATTTGGCAGAAGGCTTGAAATGCGAAGAACTGGAGCTAAGTTTTTGTGTAGGATGGCTTCGAAGTGGGAAAATTTCTGAGAAAGAAATTCTTGAGAAATAATTGGAGAGACAGACTTCGAAGAAAAGTCTTGGAGTTCTTTTAACAACCTGACCAACTCTCCAAAATTTTGTTCTTCTTTGGCAGAAAGAGTGGTCAGTTGAGGATTCATCTGCTCAAACAATTTAACACATTTTGCAACAGCATCACAAATAATGTCAATCTTTTGATTTGCGGACGCGTAATCTTGTTGAACAGCCTGAACCTCCTTTGTCATATCTTCACGAAGTTCTTTGATTTGCAAATTAACATCTTCGCGTACCTTCTTGACTTCTTGTACGAAGAGCACATGACGCTCCTTCGTAACAAGCTTTAGATCCTTTAAATCTTTCACAAAATCATATCTCAGAGAATTGATTTGATTCTCTGTAGAAATATCATTCTGATTAACCTTCGCAAGAACTCGACTCTCCGAATCCCTAATCAACCCTGATGCCTTCGAGATCACCCTTCCTTCCATCACCTTCATTAAGGAATCAACTTCCATGCTTGTAATTCCACCACTGCCCACATCTGCTTGAGATTACAAGATAGAATTCAATTTAGAATTCAAAATCTTAAACTGCTTCATAGTCATCAGCATGTGGTCAGGGAAATCTTCTTCAGCTTGATCAAAATGAAGAGCTTCGAATGTTCCTCCAAAGCCTTCGTTATCGGTTTCAGCATCAGCAGCCATGGTTTCATCAGTAGGTGAGGATGGATGGGGTGGATCAGTTGATTGAGTTGAGAATATGGTGGTGAATGGTTGATCCATAATAAGTTGAAATGTAGGAGAATCAGTTGTGGATGTAACCTGGGGTAGTGAACTTCTTTCAAGAGACTTCGAAACAACAGGTGAACTGGTCTTCGCTTCTTCTTGAAGTGTAATCTCTGGTGTCTCAGGAACTTGCTCAACTTCTTCAAGTCTTTGACTCTTCTTCAAAAAAAATTCTAAATCTTCAGCCCTTCGTTTTTTAGATAATGGAGACACCGGAGCTGGAATTTCCCAAACTGTGACCCCTTGATGAGATACTTGCGTTTTCTTCACCATCTGAGACTTTCGTTTTATTTTGATCCGTCGAGAAACACCCGTCTTCGAAGGAATCATTGCTGTCGATGGAGACGCTTCGATTCTTGGTGTATCAACCATTGAGGTTAAAATTTGAGATACCTCTTCGACCACCGGAATTTTCTTCTTCTTTTCTGCCTTCGCCACTTTTTCCAAAGACCCACCAGCTGTCTTCTTCGATTTCTTAGAATTTTTCCTCTCTTCGTCTTCATGTAACACCCCTGTAACAACTGTTGTGTCAATGGATTGCAAATATGACACCAAAACATTATTCGTTGGATCCACCTTCTTGAGCATCGCATCCGGAATGCGAGCTATTGATGTAAAGATAGCCGGATCATCATTTACTTCCTTCGGACTACCATACATTTGAAACACCACCTTTTCTTCGAACTCCGGAACTTCGATCTGCTCCTTGCGGTAAACATACTGTATGATCAAACTCCAATAACGAGCACAAGAAATCCCCTGCTTGGCACTCGTCTTTGAAATGCTAGTTAAGAACTCTGTCCATAATTGTTCAGAGTAATCCACTTGCAAATCATAATACAGTCCGGCAACCATTGCGTAAACCTCCATCCTTCTTTTATCAAGACCCGTGGTTCTTCCAGTAAGACATCGAAGGAAAATGCCAAACAAAAAATTCCATACCGTAGGTAATCCAGACTTCTTGAAGTCACTGATACGCGAAAATGGAGGTTGATGGCCCATCTCATTGAACATAAACACCACTTGAGAAGAAGAAACTTCATCATAAGGACCAGAATTTGGAATCCCCAAAATTTTGCAAAATAAACGCTTGGACACCCTAATACGCGTATCATTCACCATAGTGAATTCAACACAACCTGTCTCCTTGTTGTATGATGCAGTAGAACCTGCCTTTGATAACCAAGACATTGAAACAGCAAACGAATCGAACATTGCTTTAGACAAAACTGAATTCTGTAAAGGGACCACCAGCATTTGGAGTTCCATCGGATATTTTGACAGATCAGATTCCACTTGGTAGTTGGAACCCTAGATTTTCAAAATCGGAATGCTAACAACTTCTTCTGTGGTTGGAGATGATGTAGTCGCCATTGTTGAAGATAAGAACAGAAAGTGTGTGAAGAAGATGACTGTTTGAAGAAATGAGTTGTAGAGAGAATTTTGTATGACAGAGAATGTTTGATCGCATAAAGTATTATGGACTCCTGAGTTCCCCTTTTATATAGATTACCCAAATTAATTTGAAATTAAAGCGGGATGAAACTAATGTTATCCGATGTGGCACCTTGAAAATCGGATCATGACAGTAAAAGATAACCACGCTTCAAAAAGTAATTGTCCCATCTCCTTGAAAACTGGATAGACTACCAACCATCCTGAGTACACAGCCTGTCAAGTTGCCCGTTGTAGATTTCGAACCGTTAAAAGAAAAACCTTCGCATGGAAGCAGAGCTCTTTCACTTTTGGGATATAAAGCGAAGTCATTTGCCAGATTTGTGAAATCATCAGTCTGAGTTGGTTTTACTTAGAACCTCAAGGATTTCGTGTGTGCTGTGTTTCCAAAAAAAAAATTAGATGAGAAACAAATGAAAAAAAAATTTGAAAACTTGTGATGTCAAAAAAATTATTTTGACACAAAAACAGTTTAATCCCGGACAAAGATTTCTTCGAAAATTATCAAGAGAGATAATTGACAGCTTGCTTGGTTTCCCGTGAATTACAATCGATAACTTGTAGAGAAGTTTCGAAGGGTTTCTTTTATATGTCAAATGGGTGGCTTCGAAAATTTCGTTACATTTCAACCTTAACATAAGGTGATAAATTGTAAGCAAAATTAGTTGTATGACCAGTGTAGTCAGTGACAACTTGGTTGCGAATGATATGTAAAGTAACAAGGCTTTTCAAAATATACTCATACGGAAATCATATTCAAGAAAAATATTATGTTGGATCTTATTGGGAACAAACATCGTAGGTTTCGAATGCTTGATTAAGATCACTCAAAAAGATTGAATACGATTTTGAGTATAAAATGTACTGAAACAAATGTTTCGTAAGTTCTGGAACATAGTTCCTTGTCAATTCCTTGATTTGTTGGTTTTTAGGGTTTCACTACCATCACGGACTCATGATGTTAGATCATAAACACAGAGTATTGGTATGTCTAGATTGCAATTTGTTTGATCAACAATCTCTTGGACATACGTCATTGTGTGTGAATGGTGTAAAGAAGTTTAGGATGAAAAAGATTGGTTTTCGAATCGTATGTACCTCTGTTATAGATGGACCAAACAGACAGCTCTTAACTCATTTGAGAAGAGTAAGGTAGCTCTATTGACTTATGCGAATACAAGCCTTGTTGGGAAGAAATTTTCATGAGATAACTTCATTAAGGCTTTCATTTCTCACACATAGAGTCATACGAGGCTTAAGGCAACATGCAACAGCATGCTTCTAAGGACATCTGTAACATCCCGAAATATCAAGAGTAGAGTTGAAGGGCTAAAAGAGTAAATTGGGAAAGAGCGACTCGGCGAGTCCATGTGTGGACTCGGCGAGTAGAGTCGCGACTTGGTCGCGTGTTAAGTGGCCGACTCGGCGAGTCAGTGTATTGGACTCGGCGAGTAGGCGCTGAGTGGAGAAAACCCTAATTCTCGGGGTTGAGCCTTATATAAAGATCATTATGTTTCCCTCCCAGCCTCTTTATCACCCCTTGAGCCCCAGAAACCCCTAAATCACGAAGAAGCACCATTGTTGGATGGAGTGGAGCTTGGAGAATGTATTTGTGAAGGAATTTTGGTTGATTGAGGGCTTGGAGCAAGGGGCTTTGTTTGAATTCGAGTCTCATTTCAATTAGGGCATTCCTTTGAGGTAATATCTCGTTTTTTTGAGCTGCTATTTCTTAGATGCATCATTTTGGGGATGTTGGAGATCATATCTTTGGATGTATTGGAGTTTAGAGGTTAGATCTGAGGTTACTACCTCAGATCTGGAAGGGAGAATGTCTAGAGTGCATGAAAGTCCCTGTTTGTGAGTGGTGGATAGAGTCATCTTGTCCCAAATCCTAGCCCAATGTGCAAACAGCTTAGATCTCTTTGGATTCACGTAAAGTTTGCCACTTTACGTGATGGATGGGTTGTAGGAGGCTAGATCTATGTTTTGGATCAATTGCATGGCCTGGAGTGCTTCTGAATGGATTCAGAACGGTGGTACTCGGCGAGTCACATGGGTAGACTCGACGAGTTGCTTGCAGATGGCCTGGAACTCGACGAGTTGGAAGAACAACTCGGCGAGTAGGTTGAAGATAGCCTTGGACTCGACGAGTCCATTTGGACTCGGCGAGTCTTGTCGAAGAGTCCCAAATATTCTCTGGTAGAGTCGAGAATTGGTGAGTTGAGGGATGACTCGGTGAGTCGAGTGCGAGTGGACTCAGAGTTGTTGGACTCGGCGAGTCTTGGGGTGACTCGGCGAGTTAGGTCGCAGATTGAATGAAGTTCTGATTATGGGAACTCGACGAGTCACAGAGTTGACTCGACGAGTAGGGTCAGTCAGGGGTTGACTTAAACTGAGGACTTTGATTTCGACCAAGGGTTGGTCGTTGACTTTTAGGGTTTGGTCAGCGATGTGGCCTTTGGGCCAAGAGAGAGGTAAACTAGTCTTTTACCCATGAGAGGGTGTTATGAGAGGATTTATTCTAGTCTCGAGAGTTATATTCATGAGAATATTTGCTTTACGTGTTAGGCGGTGGCGAGTTTGAGATTCCAGTGTGGGGATATCTGCTTTCTGCTTGCCAGGTGAGTCTTCTCACTATACTTTACCTTGAGTAGGTAACCAGAGTTATGTGTTCAGAGTATTTGTATGCTATATGTACGTGATGTGTTGTACTGCATTATTTCTATGTGATTTATGATGTGCATGTTTATAGAGTTGGAACCGGAAGGTTCCCAGAGTTAGAGCCTGAGGGTTCACAGAGTTTGGGTGCACGGACCCATAGAGTTATAGCCTCGAGTGGCTAATATGTGTTATGTGTGGGATTTTGGGGAACTCACTAAGCTTCGTGCTTACAGTTTTTTGTGTGATGTTTTTTTCAGGTTTCTTTCAGTATCACGGGACGGCATCGGCTTGATTGTACACACCAGAGAAAGAGTCATATTTTGGAGGATCCTGGTTTTCTATGCAAGTGAAAATGGAGTCATGTTTTGTAAATCGACTATGAATGAGATTTTAAACAAGTGTTTCTAAGAATAAAATGATTATTTTAAATGAAAAATTTGTCTTGAAATTTACGGTGTTACAACATCCTAACTAATCTAAAGTATATCAAAATCATACCTTCCCATAGAAGACACACACATGAATCCTACGCATTTAAAGCTTGAGAAAACTCACAACACACATGTTAAAACCGAAGAGAACAAAACATATTTTTGGTATTTTTGAAATGTTTTTCTTAAAAAATAACAAACCAAAATAAAATCTTTTTGGATTTTTAATTTTTCAACAAAAGAAAATATTTTTGATTTTGCAGATTTTTCGGAAAAAAAAAATAAACATTAAAATTCTAACCTTAGTTAAAATGTGTACGTATGCAAAGAAGTGAATTAGAAAGATCTTCAAATCATATGAACACGAAGCATTCGAACCGTTGACTTGAACAGTATCCTCTGATTATGTACTTCAACAAGGAATAAATCTTGCGAATACGAAGCATTCGAAGCGTTGACCATGAACAGTAACCTTTGAGCACTTAACTTTTTGTAAGCAATTTGTCCTTCAGTTCACCAAAACATTCGAATCCATCAACCTTCACTTTTATCACATGTAAGTGAATTTCCATCAACCATGACCAATCCTTCCAATATATGAAGAAAAGATTTTTCATCCAATGCCTTTGTAAAAATATCTGCCAATTGTTCCGTTGTTTTCACAAAATGAACTTCAATATTTCCTTCCTTGACATGATCTTTGATAAAATGATATCTAAGATCAATGTGCTTAGTCTTCGAATGCTGCACAGGATTATGACAAATTCTTATTGCACTTTGTGAATCACAATATAAAGGAATCTTTTTCATATTAATAGCATAATCACGTAATTGACTTTGAATCCAAATTATTTGTGATGTACACACAGCAACAACAACATATTCAGCTTCAGCTGTAGATATCGAAACACATGTTTTCTTCTTCGATTGCCAACTGACCAATTTTCCATCTAGTAATTGACACCCACCAGTTGTGCTTTTGCGATCAAGACTGCACCCTCCAAGATCCGCATCTGAATAAGCTTGTACAAAGAATCTTGT